TTAGGGTCATAAGGGCATACTTCTAATTATGATTTGTGTAAAGTGGCTGAACCACAGATAGATTTTAGAGTTCCAGTCTTCAAGGACCTTAAAACCCAGGTTTCATCATCATGTGGATTAAATACCAAAAAATCATTATTATGGAAGGATTAAACTAAACTACATTAGGAGCTATCAGGGACTGGGATAGGGTATACAGTCCCCAACTCTCCTTCCTGGCTCAGCTCATGCTCCAGGAATTATTCCTCCTTCCTGTGTGGCTTTGACATTAGACTAGTTTCAAACCCCTAAGATTCCCTTTTCTTGATGTGATCACTTATCTGGACCTTTTTTTTTCTCCCAAGATGGAGTTTCGCTCCTACACCCAGGATGGAGTGAAGCAGCATGATCTCGGCTCATGATAACCTCCGCTCCCCAGGTTGAAGCGATTCTCCTGCCTCAGCCTCCAGAGTAGTTGGGATTATAGGCGCCCGCCACCAAGCCCGGTAATTTTTGTATTTTTAGTAGAGGTGGGTTTAGCCATGTTGGCCAGGCTGGTCTCGAACTCCTGGCCTCAGGCAATCCACTCCCCGCTTGGCCTCCCAAAGTGCTAGGATTACAGGCGTGAGCCACCACGCCCGGCCATATCTGGACTTCTTATATACCTCCTTCTATTCCAGACTCTACCTGTCAAACTGAAGCATAAAACACTCACCTGACCCATCCTTCTGTCTGGATGGTGAGCTCAGTGACCTGGTCATGCCAGTCAGTATTATATTAGAGGGCAGCAGCCAGGCTGCTAGATATGGGCTTGTGGTTCTGTGTACTGACCTGCTCTCACAACTGCAATGATCATTTTACCTGTCACAGGTAACAGTGCAGTCCTAGGACGCTATTATATTTTTAAAACTTTATTTCCCTGTTGTAATTACGAACAAAACATTTACTAATTCCTAGGTAGCATCTCCAAAGGGATTTTAGAGTGTCTGGGGAGATTCTTCTCTTTGATCCTTGGAGGTAGAGAGGGTCTCACAAGAAGGAAGCAGGAAATACTGACTGAGGTCTGGTATGCCAGGCACCTAACACACGCTACGTATGTCTCAGTGGATTCTCTGCCTCCCAGAGAAGTCTTTCCACCCAAAGTAGATTTCCTTATAATATTTAGATCTTTGATAGCTTAAGCTATATGCAGATGATTGGAATCAGGCAAAGTGCTTAAGATGGATTTTGAAAGACATGAAAGGAAGTGAAAGGAAGAACATAAAGCCATTAGTTTAAAAATTTTTGAACTTGTCACTCTGCCTTCCACAAAATAGACCTAAAGACAGATATATCATTTGACCGAGCAATCTCATTACTGGATACATGCCTAAAGGAATATAAATTGTTCTATCATAAAGACGCATGTGCATATATGTTCTTTGCAGCCATATTCACGACAGCAAACATGAAGAAATTTAAATGCCCATCACTGGTGGACTGGATAAAGAAAATGTGGTACCTATACCTCATGGACTATGCAGCCATAAAAAAGAATGAGACCATGTCCTTTGCAGGGACATGGATGGAGCTGGAGACCATTTTCCTTAGCAAACTAACACAGGAACACAAACCCAAATGCCACATGTTCTCACTTATAAGACGGAGGTAAATGATGAGAAGACAGATACATAGAGGGGAACAACATACACTGGGGCCTATTGGAGGGTAAAGGGTGGGAGAAGGGAGAGGATCAGGAAATATGATTAGTGGGCTCTAGAATTTATACCCTGATGACGAAGTGATCTGTACAACAAACTCCATGACACATGTTTACCTATGTAACAAACCTGCACCTGTTTGAACTTAAAAGTCTTTTAAAAATGAAAGAAACCTGGTCGGGCACGGTGGCTCATGCCTGTAATCCTAGCACTTTGGGAGGCCTAGGCAGGCAGATCACCTGAGGTTAGGAGTTCGAGACCGGCCTGGCCAACATGGTGAAACCTCGTCTCTACTAAAAATACAAAAATTAGCTGGGCGTGGTTGTGCACGCCTGTAATCCCAACTACTTGGAAGGCTGAGAGAGGAGAATTGCTTGAACCTGGGAGGCAGAGGTTGCAGTGAGCCGAGATTGCAACACTGCTCCCCAGATCTGGGCTACAGAACAAGATTTGGTCTCAGGGAAAAAAAAAAAAAAAAGAAATCAATCGACTCGTGAGCACAACTGAATACCAAATAATATAGAAATTTCATAGAAACATATAGTTTACCAACATTTAAATATATATTACTATACAATTATATTGATGTATAGTTAATTATATTGATGTATAGTTATTGTGGTACCCATACATCATGGCCTATGCAGCCATAAAATGGTACGAGATCATGTAAAATACAGTATTGTAAAATACCATACTTTACTATAAAATACTATATTTTATATAAATATAATTAATATAAATATATGAAATAAATAAAATATATTTTACTATGTAATATTTTACTATGTAAACTATAGTACTACAAATGTAGTTTATCAATACATAGTATACCAATTTCTCTTTACAGAAATATTCCAAATGTTAATAATTTTCTAGCTAGACTGACAAATTTTTTTCTCAGTGCAAAAAAGTTTACTGGTCCTATGATGTTGTAGGCAGGTCTCCAACTCCTGGTGCTACTCCTGTGTTTATGTTATGTTACCTACCAAAAGGAATTTGGCTGGTAATTTCCTAATTAATGAAGGTTACTAGTCATTTGAATTTTTTTTTTTTTTTTTTTTTTTGAGACTCAGTTTTGCTCTGTCAACCAGGCTGCAGTGCAGTGGTGCAATCTCGGCTCACTGCATCCTCTGCCTCTCTGGTTCAAGCGATCCTCCTACCTCAGTCTCCTGAGTAGCTGGGATTATAGGCACCCCCCACCATGCCTGACCTCATCTGACTTTGAAAGAGAAAACTGTGTGTAATCCCAGCATTTTGAAAGGCCGAGGTGGGTGGATCACTTGAGGTCAAGAGTTCAAGACCAGCCTGGCTAACATGGTGAAACCCCGTCTCTACTAAAAATACAAAAATTAGCCAGCACGGTGGTGTGTGCCTGTAATCCCAGCTACTCGGGAGGCTGAGGCAGGAGAATCACTTTAACCCGGGAGGCACTGGTTGCAGTGAGCAGAGATTGCACCACTGCACTTCAGACTGGTCGACAGAGCAAGACTCAGTCTCAAAAAAAAAAAAAAAGAAAAAGAAAAAAAGAAAAATAAATAAATAAAGTTATCCTGGATTATCTGGGTAGGTCCTATGTGTCCTTGCAGCAGAAATGTATGTCAGAGAGATGCAAAAGCAGAGGAAGTTAGGACCCAGGAGCACGAGGGTGATTTCACGTGCTGGATTTTAAATATATGGGGACCAGGAGAAAGAAATGAATACTGACAACAATCTGAATGGGCTTAGAAGGAAATTCTGCCCCCACAATATCAAGACTCGATCCCATGGCTTTGACCTTGATTTTGGCCATGTGAAACCAGAGTACCCACAAAAACCTGACACATTTTTCATCTATGAACTGTGAGAAAATAAATGAGTGTTGTAGTAAACTGCTGGCTATACCGTGGCAATGCATAAACAGAAAATTAACACTCACCTGAACAAATGTAATAAAATATTTAAACATTAAAATAAAAAGTAGTCATTTATATCTAGACATAATTTTTACCAGTTTGTGCTGTATCCTCTGCCTATACAATTTCATAGAATATCTAAAATTGCATCTGAAATCACATACAAAATATATATGTATATACCCACCATTCAGAAATGCTCTTCATTATTCAATATCTAAATATATATTTTCAGAGTTACATTTCTGTCTAATTCAATAGCTTTCACCAATCAGTGATGTTTTCTATTTCTTTTTCTATTTTTGTTTTTTGAGATGGAATTTCACTCTTGTTGCTCAGGCTGGAGTCCAATGGCATGATTTCAACTCACCTCAATCTCTGCCAACTGGCTTCAAGCGATTCTCCTGCCTCAGCCTCCATAGAAGCTGAGATTACAGGCATGCACCAGGTTATTTTGGTGCAAAAACTGTGAAACTCATGCACAATTTTCTCATAATACGTATTTTTCCATGAACTTCTTCAAGATCCCTTGTACTAGAAAACTGTATTCAAGAGGACATTAAAAAAATGTAGATATTCGAGTGCCACTTATTTCTGGAATGCAAGGATGGTTCAACAAATTCAAGCGAATCAATGTGATATACCACTTGAACAGAATGAAAGATGCAAACCACATCATCTTAATAGATGGAAAAAAGTATTTCACAAAATTCAAAATCCAGTCATCATAGAAATCCTAAACAAAATAGATAGAAAAGGAAATTTGCCTCAACAATAGAAAGACCATCCATGAAATGACAAATGAATAAATAACCAAGCAGGGAAAATGGAATGCTTTTCCTGTAGGATCTCACATGATGCTAGAATGTGCTCACCCCTTCTATTCAATCAATACTGGCTGTCCTAGCCAGAGCAGTTAAATAGCAGAGGAAATAAAACTCATCCAAGTCAGAAAGAAAGAAGTAAAATTATATTTGTTTGTAGATGACATGATCTTCTGTGTAGAAAATCACAGAGTCAACCAAAATACTACTGGAACTAAGTAACATATTCAGTGGATTTGTACAATACCGTATTAGCACCAAAAATTAGTTGAATTTCCACAGTTTAACAATAAACAATTTTAAAAGAAAATTTTAAAACACTTCCATTTGCTGGAGAACTTAAATTAAGAAATACTTAGAAATAAATGGCCAGGCGCGGTGGCTCAAGCCTGTAATCCCAGCACTTTGGGAGGCCGAGACAGGCGGATCACAAGGTCAGGAGATTGAGACCATCCTGGCTAACACGGTGAAACCCCGTCTCTACTAAAAAAAAAATACAAAAAACTAGCTGGGCAAGGTGGCCGGCGCCTATAGTCCTAGCTACTCAGGAGGCTGAGGCAGGAGAATGGCATGAACCCGGGAGGTGGAGCTTGCAGTGAGCTGAGATCCGGCCACTGCACTCCAGCCCGGGTGACAGAGCAAGACTCCGTCTCAAAACAAACAAACAAACATAAAAAGGTCAGAAATTTGTACCTTGACATCTACAAACATTGATTGAAATGATTAAAAACATAGAGCTAACAACTCATATTGATGGTTTGGAAAAATATTGTTAAATGATTATATAACCCAATGTGATTTAGATTCAACACAATACCCATAAAAATCCCTATCAGTTTTTGTTAAAGAAATGAAAAACACACAGGGAAAATGGCTCACATCTGTTGGCCAGGCTGATCTCAAACTCCTGACCTCAAGTGATGTACCCACCTTGGCCTCCCAAAGCGCTCGGATTACAGGTGTGAGCCACTGTGCCTGGCCCAATCTTCTTAACATAAACAATTCAATGTCAATTAATGCTTGAACTCAACGTTAAGTCAACTCAAACTCAAGTCAACGCTGAATTGACTCTAATGTCAATTAATGCTTGATTGTTTGCTCTACTCATTGCATTTGGATCAACTACCTCCAAAATGAATTTTCTGATATTCTGCAAGGAGTGAACTCAGACTGAAGACCTTGGCACCGTGATGACATTTGTAAGATTTCTGTCTAGTATGCATTCTCTGATGTCTAATGAGGTGTGAAGTAAAGGCTTTGCCACAATCATCAAACTTGTGAGGTTTCTCTCCTGTATGAATTATCCTATGTTTTGCATAGGATGAAGCTTGACTGAAGACCTTGCCACAATCATGACATTTGTAAGGTTTCTCTCCAGCATGAGTTCACCGATGAACTGCAAGGTATGAACAACATCTGAAAAATCTGCCAAATTTATTACACTAGTATGATCTCTCTTCATTATGGATTCTCCAATGATTCACAATGGTTGTAGCATTACTGAAGACTTTATGACAATCATTACATCAGTAAAGTTTCTCTACACCACGAAGTGCCTGATGGTAAACAAGTGTTGACTGCCCACTAAAGACTCTGTCACACTCATTACACTTGTAAGGCTTCTCTCCAGTGTGAATTCTAGGATGCTGTGCCAGGTGCCAATCACGCCTGAAAGCCTTGTCACAAACTCTTACATATTTATGGTTTTTCTCCAGTAGGAATTCTCCTATGTCTTTCAAGGTTTGATGTGCAACTGAAAACTTTGTGACATTCTTCACATTTGTAAGCTTTCTCTACAGTATGAATTCTCCTGTCTTTCAAGGCTTGATTTGTGACTGTAAACTTTGTCACATACTTCACATTTCTAAGTCTTCTCTCCAGTGTGAATTCTATGATGACCTGCAAGGTGTGCTTGTTGATTAAAAACCTCACCACATTCATTACACTTGTAAGGTTTTTCTCCAGTATGAAGTCTACGATGGCATGTAAGGTATGACTTCTGACTAAAGTTCTTGCCACACTCATTACATTTGTAAGGTTTCTCTCCAGTGTGAAGTCTACGATGGCATGTAAGGTTTGACTTCTGACTAAATGTCTTGCCACACTCATTACACTTGTAAGGTTTCTCTCCAGTATGAAGTCTACGATGGCATATAAGGGATGACTTCTGACTAAAGGTCTTGTCACATTCATTACACTTGTAAGGTTTCTCTCCAGTATGAAGTCTATGATGGCATGTAAAATATGACTTCCGACTAAAAGTCTTGCCACACTCATTACACTTGTATGGTTTCTCTCCAGTATGAATTCTCCTATGTCCTTCAAGGTTTGATTTCACACGGAAAGCTTTGTCACATTCTTCACATTTGTAAGGTTTCTCTCCAGTATGAAGTCTACGATGGCATGTAAGGGATGACGTCCGGCTGAAGGTCTTGCCACATTCATTACACTTGTAAGGATTCTCTTCAGTATGAATTTTCTGTTGGATTTCAAGGTTTGATTTGAAACTGTAAGCTTTGTCACATTCTTCACATTTGTAAGGTTTCTCTCCAGTATGAAGTCTACGATGGTGTCTAAGAGTTAACTGCTGATTGAAGGTCTTGCCGCACTCATTACACTTGTAAGGTTTCTCTGCAGAATGAAGTCTACGATGGCATGTGAGGGATGACTTGTGACTAAATGTCTTGCCACACTCATTACACTTGTAGGGTTTCTCTCCAGTATGAAGTCTACGATGGCATGTAAGGTATGACTTCCGACTAAAGGTCTTGCCACACTCATTACACTTGTATGGTTTCTCTCCAGTATGAATTCTCCTATGTCTTTCAAGATTTGATTTGAAACGGAATGCTTTGTCACATTCTTCACATTTGTAAGGTTTCTCTCCAGTATGACGTCTACGATGGCATGTAAGGGATGACGTTCGGCTAAAGGTCTTGCCACACTCATTACACTTGTAAGGATTGTCTTCAGTATGAAGTTTCTGATGTATTTCAAGGTTTGATTTGAAACTGTAAGCTCTGTCACATTCTTCACATTTGTAAGGTTTCTCTCCAGTATGAAGTCTACGATGGCATGTAAGAGATGACTTGTGCCTAAAGTTCTTGCCACACTCATTACACTTATAAGGTTTCTCTCCAGTATGAAGTCTACGATGGCATGTAAGGGATGACTTCTGCCTAAATGTCTTGCCACACTCATTACACTTGTATGGTTTCTCTTTAGTATGAAGTCTACGATGGCATGTAAGGATTGACTTCTGCCTAAATGTCTTGCCACACTCATTACACTCATATGGTTTCTCTTCAGTATGAATTCTCCTATGTCTTTCAAGGTTTGATTTGAAATGGAAAGCTTTGTCACATTCTTCACAATTGTAAGGTTTCTCTCCAGTATGAAGTCTACGATGGTATGTAAGGGATGACGTCTGACTGAAGGTCTTGCCACACTCATTACAACTGTAACGTTTCTCGCCAGTGTGACATCTACGATGGTCTACAAGGTATTGTTTCTGATTAAAGAGCTTGCCACATATATCACATTTATATTGTTTCTGTCCTAAATGGATTATCTGATGTTTCCTTAAGAGTGATCTATTACTAAAGGCTTTGCCACTCTCATTACATTGGAAAGATTTTTCTCTCATATGTACTTCCTGTTTCTGTGTAAATAATGAAGAATTCTGGAAATTATTCCCATAGTTATTAGATATATGGGTTTTGGGCCTACAACAATTTCTTTGGGTTGTTGAAACTGAGGAAGCATCATTGACAGACCTCTCAAGTTGATTATCAATTTTCTCTTCGGTGTGAAATATGTGTAGTTCAGGCAAATGTGAATGAAAGCTTAATCCAAGCTGATCTTTAATAGGCTTGTTTCCAGCATGTCTTTGATCATATTGGTCTGTACTACCTGTCAACTTTTTGATTTTTGTCATGGGTGCTTCATGGCCATTTCTTTCATCTTCTTGCCACTGAAACTCTAAGTCATGAATATCTTTATCAACATCCTGGAAGCAATAATCTCCAATTTGATGACTTTCATGTCTTTGCAATGTCCCTGTGTGGAACACTTCTCTATTGCTTTGCGCTGTTGACAAGAACTCCTTCATCTTGCATTTGGAAGAGATATCTACAAAACATAAACACCAAAAGGTTTCAAATTAAGTACAGATGGCAAATAATGCTGAAATGTGTAAATATGACACAAAAAACAATACTTATTTTAAACTTTCCAAACATGACCCTCAAAATTTAGGAACAGAAAAGCGTAAGATTTTTTAACAAATAAAGGGCAATTACATGTGCTTCAGATTATTTTTACGGAAGCTTATTTCCAATATCATGACAAAACACTGACAGGGCACAAACATGTGTAGCCTAAAGTAAGAAATATTTTTCCATTGTGACCCTAAAGTGTCTAACAGTTTGCAAAAAACATCACTGTCACATCAATGAAAAGTATATATTCTTCATATTTACGGCATATTTACTGTATACAAAAAAATGCTAAAGGACCATATGATATACTATATTGGTAAATAATCCACAACAACCTCATATAAGGATAACCAAAATCAATGGCAATTCTATGTTGTCAAACAATCATAGCACTGAGAAGATAAGAAAAGATTACAAAATTTAGCCAGGTATGATGGCCCACGTCTGTAGTCCCAGCTACTTGGGAGGCTGAGGCACAAGAATCATTTGAACCCAAGAGGTAGAGGTTGCAGTGAGCTGAGATTGCACCACTGTACTTCAGTCTGGGAGACAAAGTGAGACTCCGTCTCAAAAAAAAAGTTAATACAATGTTTTTCTGTAGTCCCGGCTACTTGGGAGACTGAGGCAGGAGAATGGCGTAAACCCGGGAGATGGAGCTTGCAGTGAGCTGAGATCCGGCCACTGCACTCCAGCCTGGGCGACAGAGCAAGACTCCGTCTCAAAAAAAAAAAAAAATACAATGTTTTTCTGAACAACTGTCATAAAATTACCTAAATCCATGCTGACATTTGAAATTTTTTTTTAGTTTTTATATTTTTGAGACAAAGGTTTGCTGTGTCACAATGGGCTGGAGTTCAATGCTGCCTGATCTTGGCTCACTGCAACCTCCACCTTTTAGGTTCAAGGCACACACCACCATGCTTGGCTAATTTTTGTATTTTTAGTGGACATAAGGTTTCAACATTTGGCCAGGCTGGCCTCGAACTTTTGACCTCAAGTGATCCACCTGCCTCAGCCTCCCAAAGTCCTGGGATGGCATGCGTGAGCCACAGCGTCCAGTGGCACTTTGTGACATTAACTAGTGGACTGT